AAAACTTTACAAGCACGCCATCTTCGTCCGAGGGGGGGGTGACACCTCATGGTAAAATGTAACAGCAGGAAGCAAAGAAGAGGAGGTGGAGGGCAGAGTGTGCGCTCCCAACAAAGGGGGCGACTGATGGGGTCTGAGGTCAGCGCAGGGTGTCCGGGTGTTAGATTCCTCAGTGTGGGACTCCGGCGTAATGCCACCGTTCGGAATTTAGAATGTGGAGCGAAAGCATTTGCCACACCGCCCCGTTACTCTGGGATTAAAGCGGGAGAGGAGTGGGCACAGCGTTCCCTCTTACTGGGGCCCTGGCTGGAGCTGTTGATGAATAGACCTGCTCGGCCATATTTAGACACGCCGCATCCCCGGAACCACTTCGCACGCCACTGTTCCTCCTAGAAATAAAGCGGGACTGGACGTGTGTTGCCAGGCTTCAAAGTGAAAAGTGTGCAGGACAGATAGCAAGCGCAGGAATAAATGGAAAGCAAGCGCAGGAATAAATGGAAAGCTCCCCGTTCCTCAGCTTTTCTGACAGCAGAACAATAAATCCCCCTTTTTTCTGCAAATAGAGATCCAGTCCGCTGATACTGAAGGGTGTTGTACATTTCTGTAAGTTGTATCACGGGGTGTCTGCGGTTGAATAGCTCTTCGGATACGAAGGAGGAGTTTGTTTTAATAAGGAGCTGCCATGCTGACAGACACAACTTACTAAATATCTCTGGGACGAATTCCAGCAAAGTTTGAAGTGATTTCATCTATCAAATCATAACAGTGGATTTCTTCCCTGTTGACAAGTTGTGGATTACCAATACATTTTGGTTGAGTCATGGACTTAAGGCAAGATATATTTTTAGCCATACTGGTGAAACAACAGACATTAGTGTTCACAACAGTTAATCTAAGGAGTTTTATTTTATATATCAGCTACATATTTCAAAATGTGCCGGGTCTTTCTGAATATTAATACTACCTGATGGATGTCCCTTATCTAATGCATTTTTTACTCTCATTCCATTATAAAAGTCACAATGTCTGAAAAATATGATAATTGAAATAAACCCTTTATTGCTAATATGGCACGTCCTGCTTTATACTGACCGATTCCTGTCCGGCTGTGGGCTGCACGGTGGTTAGCACTGCTGCCTCACTGCAGCGGGTTCCCGGTTTGAATCCCTGAGGGATTTGGTGGATCTCTACATGCACTGGTTCTCTCTGGGTGGTTTGACTTTCTGCCACTGCCCAAAAACATGCCTGTTTTGAGCTTGTGCTGCAGGCCTCCCTCCTCAGGTCTGTGCACTGGGTCAACCCCAAGAATGGTTTTCATGCCAAACTGCCAACATGGGACAAATATATGTATGTGTGACTTTTGAATCATATTTGGATGCGTCCTCCTTCAGTGTCTGTGACGTCAACATTCATTAAGCTGAAATAAAGCGGAACTTCTATCTAAGACCAAAGCTTTAAACAAGGCAGTGGAGGTAAGAAAATTACTCTTAATATCTTTTAGAGACCTAATTTAAATCCTTGATTTAAATCCTTTTTCTGCATCCTGACACCCCAGGACATACGATGGAGCGACACAGGTGTGAGAGGCATGGTGGAGATGATGATTTCAGCACAGCGACAGGCTCAGTTACAAACAGGGCAGAAAATAACTATTTCAATATTTTTCCCAATCTCTTCAGAAAGAGGAAACAATTTGCGATTAAGAGAGTCTCCTATCCCTCCCCTTTTAAATACGGAGCGATGATCCAGGCAGAAGCACCATTTCTCCAGTCTGAAAGTAAATGTTGTGGTTTCAGCTAACCGCCGGGAAAGCTGCCGCTCTTGTTTTTAATGAAAAGCGTTTTTTTCCCCCCACAGTCGTAATGACTTTTGTTTGAGCCGCCCTCTCACTTTCTCCTGCTCTGGTCCAGATGGCATGAATAATGCACCTCCTCTGACTTCACACTTCTCTGATGATGCATGTGGTTGCAACCCGCCCTGGTTCTGGTGGAACATGGGTGACAGTAACTTACTCAGTCGGCTAAGGTGGATAAAGAGGGGACGAGCAGTGAGGAAATGTAGCCATTTACAGACTGGAGAATGCCGTATACAGATCTAGAACTCACCAAAGCCATTTTAGGGGGGTTATCTTAATGAGAAAGGGGAGAAAATGTTTAAATATGATATATTAATGAACGTAGATTCATTTTAAGGAGATGAATTAATGGCTGGAAAAAGACCTCATGTATTATTTGATGGATCAGATGGCCCTGATACCTCATTATAGATTGTTATATCATATCATTATGTGCGTTAAGACTATAAGAATGTTATTAACGACATCATTATCGCATTCAGTGTGGATTTGACCACAAACTTACAACAGTAACCATTATCATGTACATTTTCAGCTATGATGGGCTGCTTAATGATCCTTTCCATTGTTATTACCCCTCAATTTAGTCTGTTCTTCTAGCCTCCCCATCTGGAACATGCTCTGTGCAGAGTTTCAGGCGTAACCAAAGAAACAATATAGATTCCTGATTGTTAAGCTAACTACTGCCTCTAAGCACTTTGTGAGAATACACTGAAGACACTCACTGATTCTAACCGGTGCCGTGTGCAAATTATTTAAAAGCTTATTTCACCAAATGATGCCCCGGCCTTAAAATCAGGATTTAAGACAGGCTGGAGTGATGCTAAGAGGAAGAATCCAAGTGACTTCAAGTTCACACATTGCTCAAAACAAGGCCAAATATTTGGGATTTGAGATGTCAAATCAGCAACTGGTAAATTTGCTTTTCTTTGAACCCATTTTTGGTGAAAAGCTCCAACCACAAACTGCTCATAAGAACCTCACAGAAAACTGTGGAATATGAATTAAATATCAAGCTTTCATTCTTAAACACAAATACATTTTTATTTAAAAAGAATTAGGAAATGCCTTTTGTAAAAAACAACCTGCAGACAAAGCTAAGATGGCTAATAAAAGGAGGCAGACACTGTGGCAGAAATGTGCAATTTCTTACTTTTTCTTCCCTTAAACACACTAACACACACACACACAAACAAAGAGATTAATCATTGTCCACTTTCCCGTCCCATGTACTCCCTGCACTGACCTCTCTCTATCTGACAACAGATCAGGACTGGGATACACATGTAATCCCCCGTATCTCCCTTAGCCATCGCCACAAAATGAAACATGCTGCTCTGCAACTTCCCCACAACTGACCAGGAAAGGCAGGTAGAGGGAGGGAGGAGGGAGGGAGGGAGGGGAGAGGGGGGGAAGTACATTTCTGAACCACAATTTTAAATAAATAAGACTCCCATTTTTCAAGTGCTGCAGTCAAATGCATCAAAACAAGGTTTTGATCTGGTGTCTGAGCGCATTATCCAGGCAGCTATCGCTTATGTGAGGCTGAGTCGGGATAATAAACATCACATTCGATTTGACTGTCACCAGCAGGAAGATACCAGGACGCTTTCCACGATGATAGCCCCCACTCATTTCAGAAATGCTTGAATTGGCTGCTCTGGACTCACTCTAAAGGCGCTCGTTTCCATATTCTGCAGCGTAATCACATAGCAATTCTACTGACTATAGATCCTCAACAGCGGCTTGCAAGCTTGGCTTTTACCCATGAAAACCCAGGGAGTGGAAAATATTAATTACCATCCTTGGCACTCATTTGCTTTCTTTCACGTTAGGACTGATAAGGAAAAAAAAAGGCAAAAATCGGCTTAAGTTAGGAAAGCACAGCAATTAACAGTGATCTGGTTTGATGAGAAACCCACTTTGCTGTGTTAATAGGGGTAATTACCAGTCAAACAGGAAGTGATATTGACTTAAGAGGCCTGTCACTAGACAATGATGAAAGTACTGGTCTGCAAATATCACAGCAATGTGTCTAACAAGGGCAGCAAATTCCAAAGGAAAGACAGATGGACATCTGCTATCTAACACAAACACACACATTTCCACAATGTGAGGTGCTGTTCGTGCTCTATCATCTGCAAGCCAATGAATATTCTATTGTAACTGACAGCAATGTTGTGTTCAATACACGCGTTCTCTTTTATGGTTGTTACAAATGCCATAAACGGCTCCCATCATACCTTAAGGAAAAGGAAAACACTTTTTTTCCCTCTTTTTATGTGACTGATAGAATATTTCTGTGACTGTGTTTGAGTTCAAGGTGACTGTTTGGCTGCAGATAATGTGATGGGGTGCAATATGACAACATTTGCTTTGAGCACAACACTTTTTTTTTTACAGATCTTTCCTGCTAACTTATAAAAAGAACATTGTTTAAGGCAGTAAAAGCCTTTGAGGATCTTTCCTGAATGTTTGAAACGATTCAACAAACAAATCTGTTCTGTCAAACCCATTTTTTTTTACCTTTACCATGCCTGTAAGATGACTATCTGACAAAGACTGATGATTATATTATCTTCTTAAAAAGAATTCTATGATTCATATACCAAAATAATGTTTTTATTGGTATTTATTTGCACAAGAAGGACTAAAACTCTATTTTAGTCTTCCTGAAGCACCATAAAAAGTGAAAAAGGAACAATTGGGTAGGTAAGAGCTGTACTGATGAATTGAAGATTTGTGTTAAAAAACAAAAAGAAAACAACAGCTAGTTTTCGTGTTATTTGGGTAATATTTACTGTTAATGGTGAAGTTCCAAACTTCTAAATCTACTCGCGTATAGAGAGAATTCATGAACTAGAGCTCAGGATGTGTTTTGTATCACCCCTGCACAGGCTGAACGGTGGGATGGTGCTCTTAAGCTGCAAACCTGGCAGCGCCCAGCCCGCAGCAAAAGCCAGCTCAGTGCTTTGTTACATTAATCAACAGAAGGAGGGATTCCACGGCTGATGCCGTCACGAGCTGCCAACAATCAGCCGTTTCAAAGGAGGTCCAAAGCCACCCAACACCACTACCTCCACAACTAGTTTAATGAACTTTTTTTTATGTAAAAGACCAACGGGACCATTCCTTTGAGACTCTGCTAACAGAGCCGTGCTCGGCCCTGCCTACCTTTTGATGGTTCTGTGCGTTTGGGCAGATCCAATGTGTCGTAGTTTTTATCGTTCTCACCATTCTTTCGGCCTGAAAAGGGGAAGAAAAGGAGAAAAGAAACGAGTGAGTCTCAGCCCCTGAGAGCCGGGACTATGAAAGACAATGTGGCAGACGCCTGGGTTAGACTGTGACAGGGTGACTTTGGCTCTGGTAAAAATGAATGACTCCATGGTGTAGCAGTAAAAAAAAAAAAACTATGACATCAGTCACACACATGTGCACAGGAGCTTTTACAAATGCACACAAAATGAAACCTAACACATAAAACTCTGCACAGGGCGCTATAAAACAAACACGATCAAACACATCATTTAAATTCAGGCTCTTTACTTACTGTTATTCCCCAAAAACACCTCACACACACACACACACACACACAAAATCACATTATGAACTCAGCTAATCCACAGGTGGAGTGGAACCGCACACACTTCACTACATTTGACCAGCTGGGCAGAGAGAGTTTCTGCTGCAGATTACTGGGAGTAATGCGGCAGCAGAGGGGAGGCCTGAGGCTCGCCGCCGCTACGCCAGCTATCGGCCAACTCACATGCACATGGAAAGTGACAAAGGCACGGTATGGAGATAAAAAGACGGAACGGCACCATTCCTCAGCTAGACGACAGTGAAATGCCCGGTCACCGGGGTCAGTGGAAGCAGAAGTTATGAAGCACTCCCTCCTGGCTGAGCTAACCACTTCCCCTCAGGAAACAGGCTGGAATATTTGATTTGCTTAAACCCAGGTTAGATGATACGTGGCTTTCCTTTGAAGATATTTTCCTTAGTACTTCCTCAGCACATATTGAGCTGAGCTGGAACGGGCGTCGGGCTCCTGGTAAAACGGCTAGCTCAGAATTTGGAATGAAAGATCATCAAAATCTTGCTTAAAGGCCTCTTTAAGAAGATGTCAGACTTTTTTGGATTAACTCCAAAGCTCATGAATTCATAAAGTGATATCAATCTCCTCCTCCTCCTGATTCTGACCAGGAAGGATGAATCAGTCTGTTTCCAAAAACCTCCCATTTCGCAGCTGGTCAAACTAGTAAGGAACAAAACAATTTCCTGGATCTGGACCTACTCTGAGAATAGATGATCTTTATTAGTAACTATAATCCAAATTATGGACAAATTTAACGGAAAGAAAGTCAGACAGACATTAAAGCCAGAACGTTAACAAAAAAGCCATTTATCTTGGTCTGCTTCCAATTTGAATGATTAGTAAAGCTCAACTTTTGCCTTCCACATATTTCAAAGCCAGCTCTAACAGACTAACAGGTTAGGGAGGGGTGGATTCTAATTAGATATGGTGAGAATGTGTGTGGAATGAGTGAAACTCGTCCAAAGCCAACTTTCTCAAGTTATTTGGAGGACACCCAAAACTGATTCAAACTCTATTCTACAGCCAGGGGGGAGGAGAGAAGAGAGAGTAAGAGGAAAAGGAGGTGGAGAGCAAAAGTAAGCGGGGTTAAAAGGGGGACACTCACCTTGATTAAACCATTCCTCTACAGTTAGCCAAGGAGGCAGCAGCAATGCCAAAAACACAAAGTGGGGAGAAGAGAGAAGAGCCATGATGAAAAAAACGCGTGTGCGTGTCAAGAAGCCGCAAGTTGACCTCATGTAAACAGTTTGTTTGGTTGGTTTTTCACCAAAAAAATAGACTCATGTATTCCCGAAGGAGTCGGAGTGGCCATCACAAAGACATCTTTTTTCATTACAAGCACAGTCATGTGCTTGTAATAGATATTCAGGTAAGCACACTGTGTTTAAAAAAGGAGAGCAAAAAAAAGACAAAAGGCAGTGCAGAAGAAAGAAGAATCAACTCTGCTATCAAAGTGAAACAGTAAAAGAAACAGTCAGAAACGTTTAATAGTTTCATTAAAATCACTGGCTGATAAACGACCGCATCTTGGATTATGCGTCATAACTGTGTATTTTTTATTCTAAATGTAGCATGAAGCTGAAGAGGGGCCTAAGTTCTCTCCTTAATGTGACAACTTACACAGACTATTACTGGCGGTGTTGTTAAACGGCTGCCGCTCGCCTCTGCTGTGGTTAATAGCTGCATTTATTGTTCCTCTACCTGAGCCTCTTCCTTCAGGCTGTGCAGCAGCCTAACTCCCCTCATTATTCAGTGTGTGGACATGTTGCGTGCTGGCTGCTTTTTCTTTTGAGTCTATGCGCGCAGCCCCGAATTAACGGGAACTGTTAGAGTCAAGGGTCAGAGGCTCTCATTGGCTGACGGGTTAACAGCAGCCATCGTTGTTGGAGAGCAGAGAGATGAGGGAGTCACTTTGCCAATAACTCCAGAGAGTGATGATTAGGACATTTCCAACAACACCTACATGCACTCCAATTCTGTTAATAACAGGAAATAACATTCAAAACCTCCCCATCAAGTAAACCTCGTCAAGGTTGACATCCACTATCAGAACAGTAATTTATTGAATTTAAGAAATGGTCTTAATTTGATCTCAACACTCATATGGCAACAGGAGGCCGCCGTCCTTTTTTCTCCTCACCTTTGGCCTTTTTGCCTCCGAAGCACCCGGCGTCATCCTTCTTCTTTCTCTGTGGTCCCGCTGATCCGGGAGCCTGCAGCGTGGACGGGTCCTGGAACCTTTCAGCTCCCGGGACCTCTTTGTGAACGTGGTAGGAGAGGTTCCTCATGATGCAAACGCAGTTCTCAACAGACTAGAGGAGAGAGAGAGAGAGAGATAAGTTGGACTGAAGGCGTGCGCGTCAGCGTAGGTGAGCTGGATGCTTCCCTACCTTGTTGTCCATGTCTTTCTTTCCTACGGCTGACTGCAGGGCGTGCAGCAGGGCGTCCACCAATCCCTCGCATTCCCTCAGTCTGCGCCGCGCCTCTGCCCCGTCCGAGCTCACGTTTCTACGGGGGACAGCAGCGTGTTGTATTAAAGATATACAATGAATGGAGCAAAAAAGAAAACATGTAGGAGAGTGCTGAAGCTCAAAATCACATGACTATTGCATGTCTGTTGAGGGGTTTTTTAATTGGGTAAGATCAAAGCAGTACAAAGTGTACATTTGTATGTATTTAAATGAAATGAAGTGCAATCCAATACAGCTCATGCCAGTAAGTCTGACTGTTTCCAGGCCAGGAAAAAAAAAAAGAGCTGAAGACAGTCTGCGTCACACTTTGATTACCACCGCCACTCTGCTTTAAGTAATAATAAGATAATTACAGCTACTGTGGATAGGAGGGCATATGGGCTCTGTCTCTATAGAAAAGACATGTAAAAAGCTTTATGTGCACCGTTAAGAAAAAAAAACTATCCCATGTGACTTTTGACCTTAAAAGCCATCAGAGCTTTGGCTCTAATCTCTGCAACGTGTTGAACGTGAATTTCAATTTTGGGTAAATGCCATGCCTCCGACATCAGTCGGTGTTAGTACGGCAGCAGGGCTGGTTCCAGTCCGAGAGAGGCTGTGTGACTGGCTGTGAAAGGCAAGGCTCTAAAGAGGGTTAAAGACTGGGGCTCTGCTCTCCTCGCTCGGGACTTCATTTATGAGGGCTTCCAACCAACATAATCCCATTAGCTGACCCCCTGTTAGGCCTCTGGAAGAGTGGCAGCGCTGCAGAGGTAAGCAGAACTGTGTGCTTTATAGTGCTGTGTGGACTGAAACCCCCATCACACCCAACAATTCCACATGTGTGGCTGCTTGAATCCGACCACAAAGGACAGAACTGCATCGCAATTACTATTCTATTACAATACCTATGTAGGTCAACGCACAAATTCACTTATAGAATCTCCTCAAAGCGTTAATTTCACCGTGAAATGGAACCCTCTTAAAACATATAGAGTGAAAAATAATAATACAACCAGACGGCTCTGGCCATCTGGACCGACTGCTATATCCAACCCCTCCGTCTTTAACTATTAAAAAAGAGGTCATCATCTGACTATAAACAGATCCAAAGGAGCGCATGCCTAGGATTTATTTGACACGCATGGGTTTGAGGCCCGGCAGACTCAGGAGTTTTATTGTCAGCTGTTTCATTTCCGGGTGTCTTTCTGGGGGGCAGTTGGATTGTACGGTCATCCGTTAACGGAGAAAATGAGACAATGATGCCGGTGCAACGTTCAGTTTTTTGGTCTCTATAGATCCTGGTGGTCACACGTGTGTCTTTAACCTGTAGCGTCTCATCCTGCTCTGTGGAACAGTGTGAAACTTCAGGTGACGCTGATTGCGGATATGAGCCTTTTTTTAAAATAAACTTTGCATCTCCTTCTCTTGCGTCAAACGAATCGCAGCCTCACATGTGGAAGACTCACCTGCTGAGTTCCCATGGCAACTAGCAGCTCGAATGGCGACATATTACCAATGACAACAGTGTTGTGGCAGCAAGTTTACAACCTAACAGGCTTTGGCAACTCCTCTGCGAGTTGTGTTACCCATTAGTTTGTTGTTTAAATCATTTACAAAGGCTTGCAGTCCCTGCTGAACAGAAAACGCCACGAATCATAACTGCTCTGGTTGCCAAGATCACGTTTGAAACATGAGAGAGGCTGTTGTCACCGTCGTAACTATGCTGGATTCATGGTAATGCATTTTTATGAACCCGTCATGCAATACAAAGATACTACTGATCAGGATCATCCATTTTTCTCACACAAGAGCTAAATATTAGACCATTTACAATGGCAAACAGATTTTTCTAAGGCATATTTTTTGTTACCAGTGTGAAGTGTGTCATTCTTTTAAATGGCTTAAATGGCAGTAGGGAAAACGAACACGCCCACTTATGCCATTTCTTTTGTATTTCCTGTTCATTTAGGTCTTTCCTACTCTCGTGGTGTGATCCTATTGTGAGGGGCTGAAGGGATCAGTGGGTGTGCGTTCACAGCTCGGTGCGTCTCAGTGTCTGTGCTCTCTGTGACAGCCTGTCAGAGCAATCTTGACGTGTCTGTGGTGTCTCGGACCTATCAGATGAAGGGTGGGTGTGAAGGTCACACAGAGCCGTGTGGCTATCGGAGGACAATGGAGCAGTTGGGTGGAAAAGACAGAGGCAGGACTGATGGAGATGGATGGAGACATGGATGCCCTCTGCTATCAGCCGGCGAGGTTAACGGCAACACGGCAGGACCATATGTGCACCCTCATGCTTGGTGATCGCTCAGCCTTTATTGACTCCCACTTATGATCTGGAGATACCATTTAGCTTCTTCTGTTGGCCGATGATTGTCAAAATGACTGATTAAATAATGTCTAGCTCAGATACTATGTATGGCACGCGGAGTCAATATAACATCAACTAGTTAACAACACAGGGTAAAAAATTGAGGCATTTAATGACAGCGAATCTAATACTATTATAACAAAATAACTGTGTTCAATAATGAGAATTCTGCTGTTTTAATTGAACATTAGCTCAATAAATCAATCTATAAAAGCACTTTAAAACAGATGGAAATTATACAGCTGTGGCTTTCAAGTCCATTTAATTGATTAAATTAATAAAAATGAATAAATATCCTTTAAGAATCTCCCGAGAGAAGTAAATATGCTTAGCTTCTACTTTAGTCTATTCCTCTGTGGTGAAGGTAATTTGTCATTTTTGACATACGTTACTGTCGTCTTACTGGGGACGGTTTCAGTTCAGATTCCTCCCAACAACCAAAGGCAACGCACACACACAAACACACACACAGTCTTCTTTTCAGAAAGCCCAGAGTGTAAACACTGTGTATAAGCAGCAGCATCCTGGCAGAATGGGGGAGGGCGTCATAATAGAACTACTCCTGGCTTTACTGAGGTGTAGGCCGTGCCTCTGTTGGCGTCAGTAAACAGATTCTCCCTGGCATCAGCACTTCTCCCCAGTGCACCAGCCCTGCGTCTAGGCAACTGTGGGCTTAGTTACAGTTGCTATGGAGACACATTCTCATCGGCGAGGCTTGCATCTTGGGTCAAAGGAGTGAAAGTGATGGTTAGATATAGCGAGACGTGACAGAAATGAGTTAAGTGGATGTGGGTTTTTTTTGGGGGGGGGGGGTTAAAATTTACAATGTAACATGACGAAAAGCACAAGTAAAATGATTAATAAATTCATGAGAAGCAGAGAGAAGCAGAGAGAGGCATAGGGAGGCAGAAAGAGGCGGTGAGAGCAGAGTTCCCACTGTGGACCTTATGTCAAAGTCTACGGCTGCTGCGACTTTCCACAGAAATATCAGAGCACTTCCTTTTATTCCCTCCTGGGTTGTTTTTGATGATCTTCAGTGCTGAGCGAAACCTTTAAGTCAGCTTTCGCGCTTTGCAGCCATCTTTGTAATGCATCTGTGTGTCAAATGCACTGGCTTTTCTTTTTGTGTTTGTTTGTTTTGTTTTTTTCCAGTCTTCTTCGGATGCTGTGTCGTTCTGGATGTCAACCAGCACTTTGCAACGTTTTGAGCAGGAGGAGTTCTGGATTAGAGTCTAGACAGGCTTGGCCAGGCTGGGAGGAGACGGCATAGCCAGGCATGAGGCACACTAACCCGCAGACACGCTCTCTGTCTGTCGCACATGCTTACGAGCTGAAGCCAAAATCACAGCTTCAATGAGAATAGCAGAAGGGAGGAGATAGAACAACTGAGAAAAGGCAATGCAAAGCAAATTGGTATCAAGAAAATAAATAAATAAAAAACTTCAGGCACTTTTAAATCAATTTCATTTCATTTCTAATTTCCTCTTTTGTCCCCCTCATGTAAGACCTTCATTAGTGGCCACAAATGTAGAAAATATCCCTTGAAATAGCGGGGCAAAAATAAGGATATCTTATTCAATTTCCAGGTGTGATTGTCTGGTCTGAAAAGAGTGAGTAGTCATAAAGAAATCAAGCGATGAGTTACGAGGGTAGAAAACCTTTTAGCTGTGAACCTAAAAGTGTGGCTAGGCAAAGGCGTATTTGTTGTTATAATATCACACAAAGCCTGTGATGTCACCCAGCTGGAAGGGCTCCAGTCTTTGGACCCTACAGTGCAGTGAACTGTTTCATTTTACCTAGAGAGCAACACGAGCGGTTAAACCAAAAGAGGAAAAAACAAACAAACAAACGGGAAAAACATCAACTGACATGTCTTCCAAAACCAAAACGATCCGACATATGCGGAGCCGGCACGTGGTGTCTGGGTTGGAGTCGGCTTTCGTTGCCACTTGATCTGGAGCGTGTTTTTTTTGTGTGTTTTTTTTTTGGAAAGAGTGCTCCACTCTGCCAGCGGCTGTTAAAAGGTAAACATGCTGGAGTGGGCTGACGGTCGCTTCAGATGAGGTCAGTTTCTGGCACGAGCTCGAGCAAAGACTCTCTGGACGGTTCAACTCCGCGTCGCTCGGATTTGACCTGCGACTGTTTTCCAAGTGTCACGCTTTCGGCGTATAAACGGAATTATATGAAAGAATGAACACTACTTATCCCAAAGGGAAATTAAAATGCTTTCCCATTAATCACGATAATGACTGATTAATTACTTATTTACTGAAAGGCTGAGAACAGGGTTAAGTTTCATAATCAACAGGCTAATGCGGCTGAGGGGCCCTGAGGGAGTTGAGAGGGTGTTTATGGTGAGAGCTGGGTGTCGCGTGATAGAGTAAAAGGTGAATTATATAAACCACTATTTTTGTCCTGAGAGAAATCCACCATGGGGAAAAAGTGTCAGTCTAAATCTCAGTTTGATCCCTATAAGAAAATTGTTAGAAATTGAAATCTAAAAACAGAACATCTTACAAAGGGTTGCAGAAACGCAGAAACTATAGCTGTGCACATCAGATTCATGGTGGACCCAGAGCTGACTGTAAGGCAGCATGGAGATGGAGCAGAGGGAGAGTAAGGCTCACAACCTGTTTTCATTGGTGGAGGCAAAAAGGGAGTCATTCAAAAAATACTCTTGATCTATTCAGATGAGCGTGTGATGGGTGGTCAAATGAGAGGTAAGAAGTTCGCTGCGAGCCAAAAATAGTTGTTTGTTTTCACAGAGATAAGCTGCCCCGCATTCCCACCCGCACACAGACATGCGTGCGGCCACGGGGCGAGGCGGGAGGGAGCCGGCATCTGCTGCATCATAAATCAACAAAGTACCTAAAGAGCTTCCAGCTGACCCCGGTCCGCCTTCAGCACACCTGCCCCTCTCTGCAGCCGCTATCTTTGTCAAAACAAACACAGGAGTCTTCCCCTCCCGTTACTCTTGACCCTGAGCACGCTGCGCTAAGCCTCTGGTAAATCTGCCGCGATCACATAAATGCGTGCACGTGCCAAAAAACCCAAACGAAACCTTAACCTGAATACAAACCTGCCATCTGGGTCATCTGTTGGGCCTGTTGTCTCTTCCTGAGATCGTAAAACATATCTGAGGATCTTATTATTCTATTTTTTTAGAAAGAAAAAAAAAAGCCAATTGGTTTCCGATTAAATGATAATTGGAAGGATCTGTCTGACTCAGAGTGGGGCTGCAGTTAACACCGGGCTCTTGGAAATCTGCGGCCCGATTTAAACGTCTCACGCCTAAACAAACTCCGAAGGAGTGGGACGCTGGTTGAGCTACCTGAGGCAGCCCGAGGTGTTTTTGAAGACGGTGGTCCATTCGGCATCGCGGGGCTTGGAGTCTTCGTTGGGTTCGTGCTCCCAGCCCGAGTGTGGGATGATGACCTCGTTGGTCATGGTCTGCAGGCCGTGGTTGATGATCACCATCTTCAGGGGCTCATACGATGACAGATTCCACAGGGTTCCTGCAGGGGAGCAGGAGAAACATTAAGACACTTCTAGAGGACAGCCAGAGCGATATTTTCTACTCGAGTAGAAAGGGCATAATGGAATAAAGTGAAGAAATTAAGAGAGATGCTAATAATGACAATAGAGATGAAAAAACAAAATAAAATCGTCATAAAAACACAAACAAAAAGGCATGTCGGGGAAGACTTTCTGACTGAAACCAACATATTTATCATGTTTATTAGCTGCCAAGTATTGTACATGTAAAATAGAACCTGTGTGAATGCATAAATGTGACCAGTGCTGACTGAATGTCCAGGAATTTATGCGCCTGTCCTTTTCCAAGCAACTCCAGGCGCCTGCATTTTTATAAAGTCACAACCAGCACAATTCATACATCTGCTGACAACAAAACAAGCCCAGAAAAAAGTGAGCTCAACTGAGCAGGGTACGTGCACGGTGGGTTTTCACAGGCGAGGCAGCCAGGCAACGGTGGGGAGGGGAAGGGGGGGCTGGGGGGGGCGGTGTGGAGGGCGTTCAGCCACAAAAATGACATGCTCTGCTTAAGCATCGACAGCCACTGCATTCAAACTCAGACACAAGGAAGCGCTGGAGCGAGGCAACCTCCACTCTGAGGAGAACAAAAAATGTGGGACCTAAAAGGAGACTGTGTCTGACACATTTCTGAGCTTTTGTTTTCAGAAATCCATCCCCCCGGGCCTCTCTGTCTTCCTTTCCCATAACTCTGTTACTTTCTTTCACAACCAGGTATGGCCTTTTTATCTGCAGCAAGCAGCAACAAAATCACTCCCTCTCTCCGCCTCTATTCATGAACACTGTGTATTTACATACATACATATACAACTGTATATATACATATATGTGTGTGTGTGTGTGTGTGTGTGTATGGGGCCACTGCTCTTGCCTCTAGCTCCTGGCTGTGCAGGGGAATCTGCAAAAAACAGCAAGCTAAAGCACAATAACTCATATTCACGGCTTTGAGGATAAGATGCACGTGCTTGTCTCCCGGTGCTTCGGAGGTTATCTTTGGCCTCGGCCTCGTGCTCCGGAGGGAAAGCAGCTGGAAGCTCATGCATCAACGTTAGGCGGGACATTCACACGCTCACGCGGAGGCCGACCCGCTGATAGGGGCGCGCGTCTCGCACGTACGCATGTCCCGATCCAGCCAGGGGGACACGTATTTGAAGACACCCGCAGAGGGCGGCCTCCCCTTTACCCCATAATAGCCGGCCATTAAGGGAGCCCTGGAGGTGCCACACACTTCCTGCCTGCTCTTTAAAACAGCTCCTGTACATTTTCCAGACGGTCCAAATTTCCTGAAATCATACGAACCACACAAAGGGTGGAGTGGGGGGGGCTAGGCTAAAAATAACCCCACACCCTCTCATGTGGTTCAGAGCAGGATTCCCTTTCCACGTCAACGAATGCATGAATAAATAAATGAATTGTGATATTTTAAGCCTTTATTTCCTCTTCGTCTGAAAAAGCGTGGACTGGGGGGGGGGGGGGCAGCGAGGGGAGGCATGGTACCATTTATTTCTGTTCTTCTGTGCTGGTTTCCTCAGATCATCAATAACACTATACCCTAGCTAAGCCCATCCCCTTGACACAGTCTGCCCATTGGAAGCAGAACACTTACTCCCAGCAAATTAAATAAAACTGAGTGAATTCAACTATTTCCATTCTGGTGGGGGGTGCGGTGAGGGGGGCTGACCCATCTGTCCATTTGCCTGACAGCTGACTTTCAGGGAAAGCAGTTCCCCACACAAGCAAAGCTTAAGTCATTACACTCTTGAATCATTTTGTCCTTTGAGTGTTTATTGTGAATTGGAGCTTTCAAAATGTAACATTTTTTTCATAGCATGTTCAAGTAAGACACGGATAAACTTCCATTAATAAAACTGCATCAAAATTATCCAAATGTGTGTTTTTTTGCCGATAACCTATAATCATTCTCCATCCTTATGGCCTTCAGTATCATCTCCTTATTTCTTTAGCTGCTTGTAGTAAAATAATATTTAGGAAATAAAGCAGCTTAGTGATGACATCACATGGAGAAATTGCATCACTTTACAGAATGTTTTTTATTCCAAGTGAGCTCCGCATGATGCACATTCACACATCCGAACCAAAAGAAGTGATAGCAGGATTTGCTTTTCCTTCACTAAGAGTGGAGCACCAGGAAATGCCAGTCTCAGTTGTTCTACTTCAAATAGTCAATCCAGGTTTACTCCGTTCTTCAGAAATAAAGAGTCCTACTCTAAAGTAATGTTGAGATTTGGTAGATAAAATTAACAAAACGCAGCCTGCATCAACACAGCGCTTGATAGGAATAGTAATCCTGCTCCTTTAGTGACATATACCTGAACTCTGAGTGTCCACCTGCAGACGAAAATGCAGAAAAGCTGCGTGTGTGCGCGTTCCATCCCTCACGCATATTTACCGCACCGTGAGCTCTCACTGGGTCAATTTCCAATCATTCGACACCATCGCTTGCGAGCGTTTAGAGCAAATATCATCATCGCCCAGGCATGGATCCAATTAAAAACAAATGTAGTGTGCGATGATGACAGATAGCATAGCATTCATGCCTACCCGCCGCCAGGCTGACAGCTTGATTACATCCCCCTGTTGAGTCATTAGCATCAACTTGTGACACGTTCAAGAAACATTCATTGTGCAGTCAACATATAATGAACGGTGTGAGCTTAACGAAGATGACCTCTTGCTGTATCGCCCTGCGCATTATTAATGCATCAAGTGTATCATTGTGAATCCACCCACACATCCAGCACATCCAACACAGACACATCTGCTCTGCACGCATATAGCCGCTTACAGAAACCAAAGTTTGACAAAGAAAAATGTATTTAGAGCAGCCGAGCAGCAAAAGATACCTCAGACTTTTTTTTTTCCCCCCACAGGAAGCATTAAGCAAACCTCCAGTCTTGCACATTCTTTTGGGAACTGGGTTGTTCGCTGTCACCTTCAGTGCTGCATCTGAAAATGTGCTCAGGCTGGCAAAATCAGTCACCTCTGTACTGATCGCATATGCCGGCGGGGGGGCGGGGGGGTGGGGGATGGGGGGGGGCTGTAGCTGTGATCCATCAAGTAGGACGGGCGTACAGCCCACTGACAGACTGTTATTTAAGATGACAGAGAGCTGTGGAAGCGACCATCTCCATCCCATGTCCTGCCACTGTTTCGGGCCAGTGACTCTGGATCAGGTTTGGTCTATTTACTGTCCGCTGTCAGTTTGTCAGGCGCGCGCGTGTGTGTGTGTGTGTTAGGGATGTCCTGCTGTCTTGCAGGCCAAAGGCAGCAGCCAATCAACTGTGATGTCAAAGCCTCACTTCACAGCTGATAAGACCACACATCTGTGTGTCTGGAGTTTTCTGATTTAAACTAAATCTGACCCGAAAAAAACTATTTTTCATATCACCGAACTGCTGCATTTGGTTCGGATGGGGACACTGGCTGGCTTTAGAGTGTACGAATTCTTTGGTATTGAATAAAAGATAAATGTACTTCAGTTAATTGCTCACAGAGATTCATGGTGCGGGGCCATTGTGGGTTGAAAAACAGCCAGCTAGCCTCTGTCTCAGCAAAAAATTCTGCAGGTAACCCAAACCTCTGCAGAGTTTTAGGCTACGTCTACATTGATCTGTTCACAAACCCAGCCTGAGTGTTGATCTCAAACAGGGAAAAACACTTTTACAGTGCTCTACTCCATAAGTTTTTTTTCTTTCACCCACACGTTTCAGAGATCCAATCTTAACACGCCCTCGTGATGAGTGTTTACTTCCAGCAGAAAAATAAATCACTGGCACAGCTGCTAGAATTATGATATGAGATAAATAAGACTCATCTCATCCTTTTACCATCTAATAAAGTCAGGATTCCCAACAGGGCCACTATATATATAATTCCAAGACTTCACTGTGACCTTGCATAACTAAGTCGAACTGGTTTAGAGAAGAAAAAATGCTTTTCCTTCCTGATTTATTTATGTTGTTTATCTGCACGGAAAGCCCCTGAGACGGCAACAGTCTGCCTGAGTTTTAAGTAAGGGGAACTTTTCAACGAGCTGTGCATGCTGTGACAAATTGGCATAATGGCCACAAACCATAAACCAACATATATGAGAACTCTTTAAACAAAAATATATGCATTCAAAATTAATCTGACAATCACTCCGATGTCAAAAGGAAAAAGAGAGAGGAAATCTCGTCGATTTACAAAAAGATCTGTTCAGTGTGAGGCAACAGTTTGTTTCTTAGAAGGGCAGGACTGGGACAAGGAGCGGGACTGGCTGTGGCTCCCACTAATTACATTTTCCAGGCACTGCTGGTAGACATGTTACTCTTCAATCAGGGCTATTAACTTAGTTCTGCCCATTACCATTCTCCTCCCCTCCTCACCCCCCCCCCCCCCCCCCACCCCTTATGTCATCCATCAAACTCTCTCGAATAAAGACGGAGAAAGGCACAGTTTAGAAAGAGGGAAAGGGCATGCACGGCTGGAGAAGCATAAAGAACAGGAAATAAAGAGGTATAACAAAAGGCAAAACTAAAAAATAAATGACATGGGCATGTACAAAGTACAAAACACTATCATACTATTACATACTATATATGTATTTATTACAGAGCAAAGCACAAAAGCTTGATACACCATCTAGATATCATTTATCCTCCATACAGAATCCCTGCCAACATGCCCCATTTGTATAAGCTCTAAAATCTACATTTCCAGCATATAACTGAAGGGCATAAAAAGCCCAGCAAAGGAGTAAAAAACGAGCTGTCTGCTTCTTTGAGGGTGAAACTGCTCTGCTCCTTGCATGTTTCCTGCCTTCCAGAGAAAAGTTTTTATAACGTATAAAACTGAGCAAAGGGCCCGTATTTAAAACCCTCAAATTACATTTAATTGTTGAAAAAGAACATGGCCGACACCAGCCCCGTGGACAAGTACGTGCACTGAGCCATTGTCACCGAGGGGCCGGATCACAGGCGGTGGGGAGTAAACCAGTCAGAGGCAGACAAATCTCTGAGAGTGCAGATAATGAACGGAGGAGAGGGGAAAAATTAGATTGAGTGTGGGAGAGTTGAATAATGAGTTAGTGGGGGAGAAGCCTCGTTCCACTCTGTCCTCCTTGTCTTGTGGTGGGGTAGAGTTATTTTTAGCCACACGAAGGAGAAGCACGGAGCTGTAAAGGCAATCATCTCTGCTGCAGCACCCTCATCGCTCACTGCAGCGCCGGCGCACGTGTGCACGCACGCACGGCCCGTTCAGGGCTTCCACCGCTCTGACTAAAGCCCCCACGCCGCCATCGGCCCGCCAAAAACCCCGCCTGATGAACTCTCCCACCGGCTCAGGTGTCTCCTTCTAAAGTGGCTCTCGTTTCTCACGCGAGTGCTCTAAAAAAAAAAAAAAAGCTCCTTCTTAGATGCCAAAGTGTGACAGCGTGTCTGGTCGAATCAGAGGGGGGACGAAGCCATAGACACCCATACTGTACTCCCAGGAAAAGGAGAGGACATCCTATCGCTGCATCTAAATCAATAGCTCCTCTTAAAGGAATTAAAACATATTCCATTATCCTGCGCAGCTAATAGCTTCCTCTGAAAAAAGAAAATCAATATTTCTATGCTTTTCTGCTTTCACATTCTGTCCGTCTTTTTCTGCTTACCGTGCCGCATTATGAGGTTAAAGTAATTAAATATCCAAAACTGTGTTTTACATCACTGCTCAGCTGTGGCCTGTGTAACCTTTCAGTGTGGGAAAAAATGCCTCAGAGACAGCAAATTTGCTCTTTAAAGTATGCCACTCTTAGGCTTGTAGTATGATAATTAACTGAAATGTATCTTCTCTATAATTAAAAGTCATTACAGCTTTCAGTGCATGCTTATCTCCCTTTGCTAGCAGACTGGCAGTCAAACAAATCGGTGGGTAACTCATCAATTATGCGGGAGACACAGACATATCGCACCGTTTTAAGGGGTCTAATTCAGCAAAAAGACGCCAACATTTTCAAACAGCACTAAGCAGGATAGACCCCAAAGTCTGTGTCTTTATGTAAGATGACTCGCAGCGCCACATTGCTATGCGGAGCACGAGACGGGAGCAAGCGGGCAGAATATGTATGTGAGGGGAAGTATGCAACCAGTGATTGGAAAGGACTGGCATACTAAGGTGCTATCTTCTCAACTTAAGGCTTCAAAGCAGAAGCTTCGTAACGCATGTGGCAGAGAGCTGAGAGTAATTATGCCGACAGGATGTGGAATCCCGCAGTTAGTGGACAGGACGGCCGGCGATGTTTTCAGATTCTCTGCTGCGCTGTTTATTTTTAGAAAGACGTGACATAATCATTCGGTGAGAAGGTTAAAAAAGTGGCCGCCGTCTCACCTGTGATTAGTTCCCGGACTTCCATGTCGTTGGTCTTCCGCAGCAGCCGGATGAGGCCCGGAATGCCGTCGCAGTTCTTGATGGCCACCTTGTTGTCGTTGTCCTTGCCGTAGGAGATGTTGCGCAGGGCGCCGCACGCCTTGCGGTGGACCTCGGATTTGGGGTGATCCAGAAGCCCCACCAGGACGGGAATCCCCTTCAGCTGGCGCACGTCCTTCTTGATCTTGTCGTTCTCGTAGCACAGGTGCTGGAGATAGGCGGCCGCGTTAGACTTGACCGGGTCGATGGGGTGGCCGAGCATGGCGATGACCTCGGGGAGATCGGGGTCCCGCCAGCGCGGGTCCTTGCGAATGCTGTCGATGGAGGGCGAGCGCCTGCCCCCCATTCGGTCCAGGCTGGCCATGCTGCCCCTCTCGGGCTGAGCCAGAGGGGCCGAGTACATGCCGTGGATGTAAGGATGGCGCTCATCGATCAGCTCGGCCTCAATGGGGTCATCTGGGTACCCTCTAAAAGATAAGAGAGGAGAAAACAGTCTAGATAAGAAAGATGGAGGAGGTAAATGGAGGGTGACTCAGACATATTTGTCTGAAAATAATTAGACAGCCGGGGGGGGGGGGGCACTTTGCAAGAGGCCGACTGAGGGAAGGGAAACCAGAGGACAAAGCGATCTTCAGCTTGGATCTGGTATTATCAGGTAATATTCCAAGAGATTGTACCAGCAAATCTTTGCAATACGAGAAGAATGATCTGCATCAATCGGATTCTTGCTCTCTCTGGAGGAGGAGTCAGACCTCTGCAAATAGGAACTGGAGGAGAAAGAAGCGGGCTGTGAAGTTTTTCCTCTAAAAAATTATTTAAAGCCTCTATCCCCTGGAAAGAGAAAAATGAGCTCTGCTTCCCCCCTTGGGAGGACGATGGGCCCCTATAGTTCCTCCAGAGCGCTCCTTCCTCACAGCTGCCAGCCCGAGCACGCAGTTGCTGAAATGTTAATGACCATCACTCTGGGACATTTCAACTAGCATTAGCCTCATTAGCATTATTACTATTGGCGCCGGCAATTTAAATGGGATTAAGATCTGCTAATTTTTGGTGATGGAATTAAAGCGGCATAGTGACAGAAGGGGGTATTCTTTAATATCTCGGTCTTTTGAAGCTTTTCAGAGGCTGTTCTTAACTCCACAGACAGCCTCATGAATTCTTTATTGGAACATCGGTGGAAAATGTAGGAGCTTTTTCCCGGCGACAGATCGTTTGTTGGTGGAGAGGCTGCAACCTATTTCTACTTAAGGCGCTTTAATCATGGGGAGGATTTTTCAGTAGCAGCGCCCAGTCAGGGACAACTTACAAAAACCCTTTTTTTTTTTTCCAAACGTGTTTCATAACAAAAGGATGAGTTCTGACATGGGGAGTGGAATTAAATTAGGGTTGTGTGCTTATGCACAGCCATCATAATCTCCCCCACCCGTCCCACAGTTTGGGATTGTTTACCCTCATTACATAATACAGCTGGTCTCTTTTTACCATCTTTTGTGCATTGTGGCTTGTGGTGCAGCAGAACGGTGTCCAAAGTCTCTTGTTGGTAGGAAATTTCACACTGAGCTCAAATTTTAATGAGTTTTATGTTAATTATGTGTTTTTACAGTTCTTCTAAGGCATCGCGGGAAGGCGGGGAGGGGGTATGCTCGCTGACTCACCCCCATTCTGGTGAAACCCTCTGTTGTAAAGCCTCACAGTAGCAAGGCTGAGCGTTATGGCATTCACTTTAATTCGTTCATTTTGCTGTCAGGGAAATCGATTCAAGATGAACTGAAAGGTACTATCCTTCCTAAACAACGCATCATGATATTAAATCTGCAGTTCTGATGGATGGAAAAGGGATTTAAGGGGACAGAGAGTGCAGTAGGGCCTTGGTCCACAAACTCTGCCGGTTAATTGGGCTGAAAGAAGAAAGCAGTGCCGGAAGAAACTTTCAGAGCTAACACAATGAACTAAAACCAAAAGGATGTTTGTGAACCTCATTGTGGGGGGATTTGTCTTTTACCGTCTGCTGTGTGCTCTGTGCTGGGGTCCCACAGAACCCTAAAGTCAGAGGAGGGAGGGCCAAATCTAGAGCCTGATTGTAACTCACCAATTGGAGAGCCACAGCTGCTTTGAGGTTTGAGGAAAATATGGAGTAACCTGCACATGTGTGCATGTGCCGGTGGTTATTAAATGCTCTGGGGGTTCTAAAACGCCCTCGAAGGCCACCACCCACATTTCCTCTGCAGATGTGACACGGCCAGCTCAGGCTGGAGTGACCTACCAAAAGAAAAAGGGCAGCCCCCAATCTCAGAATCATCACCACCAGCGGCTCTGTCGACCCCCGCGTCTTTATGGCCGTCTGGTGTCCCCCTCTCATTATCCGTCACAGTGTTTTTCACACAGCTTCACACAAAGACTCTCCAACATACAGATGATATGTACAGTTGCGCAGATCTGGGCTCATCTAGATCCGGGCCGCGGCGGCTGGGCTTCGGCGGGGCAGGCGTCGGGAGGCTGAGTGATGGGAATGTCAGGATTTGCATTTAAATTGCCGGCATTGTGTGTGCGGCGCGGAGCGTATTCATGGGGATGTGAAAGGGGCTCTCCGCCGCCAGACATGATACTCCAAGCGTGATTACAGCCGATCACCCTCCTCATGTTAATGGAGTTGCTTAATGTCTGGGTGCGTATGTGTGTGTGTGTGTATCTGGGTGTTTGTCTAAGGATGATTTGTGTTTGGACAAAAAATGTCTGGCTGTCTGAAAACCTCTTTAGTCATCTGTTCACGCCGACTCTTTCAAATCTTTACCATTCTTTTCTTTCTTTATATTCTGTCACTGTTACTTTCGTCCCCCTTCAGTCAGAGCCGCGACCCCGTTCTGTTGCGTGCCCGTCACAGAGGACAGACTGGAGTGGATTACAAACTCCAAACATGTTTGCATCTTGTCCCGACCTTTCAGCCATCCCTCTCTGTTGAGCATATCAGCCGTTTAGCATCATAGCTGAGTACAGCAAAAAAAGGTATTCCAAGAAAAGCTGTGATAAAAGAGAAAAACGGCTTTGATGTTTAAATGGAACTGAAAAGTGATCGGAGGCATCTTAAAGGAGACAGAGGGCGCCTCAAATAAAAAAGTCAAATATTAGCTGTCGCTTAAAGCCTGTGGGCGGGGTTGAAGAGGAGGCAGACGCGGGCCGAGCTGGCCTGTGCCACATCACTTACACGGGCCATTCCCTACAGACATTAGTGGATTAGATTAAGACACCCTCACTCCTCTCGATTAAGTGATAAGTGAATGTGAGCTTGCATCCGTGCGTTTTTAGAAGTGTGAGTGCGGGAGAGATAGAGAGAGAGAGAGAGAGAGAGAGAGAGAGAAAGAGAGAGAGAGCAGCAACCTCTGGAGAGAGGAGGTAGGCAGGTGGAGCGCGGTGGATCGCCCGAGGGGGGGTGAGCCATTAGAGAGTGGCTGATGCCTGGATCAGAGCCCCTACGCTCACAGAAAGGCGCTCACGAGGATGAGGGATCCTTCTTCCCTCCACCAGGACACGCCTCCAACTTTTGCCAAAAGGAGGAGTAAGTGACGCTGATTGGATTGATAATCAAAGTCATGTTGTCTTACAATGATTTTTAGACAAAGATGCAAGAGGAATTTGCAAGCAAACAGTTTGAATGTGTTAACGTGAGGGGAAACAAGGCAATTGGATCCTAACGACCACAAATTCATGCAGCATTTTAAGCCTTGACGACTTCCAAACCACAGCAACTCGAGTCTGAGAGCGATGCAACATTCAAGGAACCCCCGACAGTAAATCATCGCTCACTTCCACATGCCAACGCACAACGGACTCCAATGCGGTGACAGAATGAGTCCACGGCGCCAACACAAGACGCCATTTTAGCACAAAATATCTTCATTTTTGTCTGTGCGTAATTGAAGGCTCGCATGAAACGATAAGCTGTAATTAAGAGTGCTTTAATTCCAAGATTCATTACAGCACTTTGGAGTCGCTGATCCTTTCTTGGGAAAATGCTAATCACAGTTTTAGCGTTTAGGAGAGCCTGGCCACTTCGGGAGAGCTTATAGTCACTGCTCCCAGGAGGAAAAAAAAAAATGAACACAGCAACATGTGAGTGTGCTGGTGTTGATAATTTCTTGCAGCAATTAGTAAGGTGGCTCCAGAAATGCATGCTTGTGTTTGGGCATGCATGTGACCAGCTGTCACTGCGTGTGTCTGAGGAAGTATGTCTGTGGCTATTATGGCGGTGTTGTGACACATGTAAGGCAGGCTACAAATTGCCTGTCACAGCAAGCTCTTCTCACCAGGCGAACGGGGAGTGACTCATTTTTTGAAGATGGGATTTTCTTCTTCTTTTTTTTTCCTGAGTGCATGCGTGTGTGTGTGTAAGATGAAGAGAGAGACACAGAGGGACATAGATAAGTGTGTGTGTGTAAAGGAAGAGTCTGATTAGGCGTTTGAGACTCTTTGGTCTCATGTGCATCCGACCGGGAACCTTTAAATCAGTGTGTGTACATACACACACTCACAAGAAGCTGAGAACCTGAGAATTGTGAGAAAAAAAACACACTTTTAGATTGTTTATATCTGCCTGTGTCTCAAACATTTTACTGTTGGATCAGTGGGGGAGACCTTGACAGTGTCCATCTTCTAGAGATTAACGATTGAGCACACTTTCCACTAACTAGCTCAGCCTCAAACCTCTTGCTTCACTTTGGGCGGCAACAAACCGATTGAAAGCAATTAGGAGACAAGAGCTCATTCTAGCATCCGATTGTTGGGGGTAACCGGCTTTTTACTGCTCAATGGGGCGAGGAATCTTACTCCTCTTATCAAAGTTTGCTTGAAAAAGAGAGAGAGGCAGATGTTTTCTCCCATTCTCTCTCCATCTCTTCCTCTCCCCGTCCTGTCACCAATCATCCCAGCCTCTGATGTAAACACATTCCCGATCCATCTGCAAGAAACTTGCAATCAAACCCTCTTTTTTTGTTGAAATGAAATAAGACACCTGCTTATTGTACTGTAATCTTTCACAAAGCGAGGAGGAGTTCCCTTCACTTTTTTTCATTGTTGCATTCTCCTCTTTTGTCAAAGGAAAAGTGAGGCTTTTTTTACACGGACAAGAGGGGAGAAGAAAAAACATGGAACCTGCACACCTTTTCAGAGCCAGTGCTCTAGTCATCATTCAGCAGAGTGTATCGTATTTGACTTTTCGGTGACATTTTAAGGGGATTCATCTGTGCGGCAGTGCGGTGATACATCAGACCGCCCGCTCCTGTGTTAAAGACACCCGCCACGCACCGTCCGCCCTCACCTGACACGGGGCACGTCGCGAACGGGTTCCCGGTGGGCTCGGCCCCGGCTGGCCCCCGGCAGCGTGCGGCGGCTGGCGGTGGAGTAGTCGGGCTCCAGCTCGTAGGGCTCCTCCTCCTCGGGGCCCAGGCTGCGGCGGTCGTCCTCCAGGCCGTAGGGCTCGGGCTGGAAGCGCTCGGGCTGCGAGCGGTTCAGGTCCGCCGTGCTGCTGCCCATGGGCACCTGGGGCTGCGCCACGTGGCCGTAGTCGTCCTTGCGGATGGGCAGCGTGTAGCTGTTCTCGGGCCGGTAGCTGTTGGGCGCGTAGGGGTAGCGCGGCGGGCGGAAGTTGACGCCGCGCGACAGGCTGCCGTAGCTGTCGGCCAGGTCGGCGTAGCCGTCGTGCAGGCCGTAGTGGCGGGCGTACTGGCTCTCCGGCGCCTCGCCGTACGAGTCGTTGTAGGAGTTGTTGTAGGAGCGCGTCAGGGTGGAGGTGGCCTGGGGCGTGATGAAGCGGTCGCTTCCGTTCTTCAGGTACCGGCGGTCGATGGAGTCGGTGTAGCTGCCCAGCGGGGACGAGCCCTCGGGCAGGGGCAGGCCGTCGGGGCCCAGGGGTACCTGGCGCACCGTACGGGTGGTGACCGTCTTCACCATCTTAGTGACCTGTGGAGGGAACCGGACACATCTGTCAGACTCGTCCAGGCTGGACACGCACAGAAAAATATAAGAAATAAGCTGATAATGTGTTTTTTGGTCAGAAGTAAAACATTGATTAACAACTGACTCAGATTGGAACCCCTTTGAGAACTTTTCCACTTTAGAACAGTTTAAAAAACCCATTTTGTGTAATGAGTCCTGGAAGGCTGAAGCCTCTTTTATGTTTAACTCAACCGGCACTCATTTCTGACCAATGAAAAACTAAGCATACGCCACCTGCCCTCGTGAAACATGAATCTTCTGAGAAACAAACAGGACAAATGACTCTCATTTTGAGACCTGTGCACGTGTGCCTTTATTGTAAAGAAGAAGCTTCGAGGTTTGACCTACATGCCGTCCACACATGAGGGCGGGCTCAGCAGACTGAGCAATGCTGTAAAAGAGCCATCTTCCAGTGCTCCTGCATCACTGGACCCTGAATCGTGTGCGGCCTGCAGGGAGCCGCTGGCCTCGCACCGGATAGGTGGACTGTGACAGCCGGACCACAGTGTAGCTATTTCCCACGCTCGCCTCCTCCTCTACTTCCTCTGCCGTCTGACAGACAGCAATCCAAATCTCTCTCTGGGCTCTCGGCCCATATAGAAACCAATTTGCTGCCCAATGAATTCTGTTGTGGCCGATAATTGGCTATTTTGTCAGCGACTATAAATTCTTCTTTAAAACTAATGAGGTTGAAGAAAATTAATCATCCGCTCCACGGGCGAAAGTCTGATGAAATTCAAGGTGTTGCTCAAACTTGACGAGATCAGATCAGCGTTTCCCTTTCTGGCTGCGAGGGGTTTGATTTTCCAGCGTCGACCCTTCGTCAGTGCCTTGATTTTTGTTTTATTGATGAGCAGTTAAGGTTTGCAACACTATCAAGAAACCAGGGGGAAGAGGGAGGCTTCACTGCACAGGGGGGTGCCAAGAGCAGGAGCACAAAGCACACGTCAGTTGTTAAACATGCTTTCCTCATTAACTTTGTTGAGACAAATAGAAATTTACGCTGGCCTCGTTTCTTGATTATACCCCGACTGAGCCACCTAACAAAACCCATTTCAAGAACATCAAGGTTCATTTCCATGTTCTAAGTAATTACAGAGTAGCTTGTTTTTTGATGACACTCCGCCTTGGCTTGCAGAGGTATACATAAAGAGCTCATTTGCTTGATTCCCATCAGCCAGAGGAGATGTGGGAACTAACTTTGGATAACAAGCTCACTCCCACCTTCTGGATTCAAGGTGGTGGACCAAAACAGCTTAAAAAGTAGCTCTGAGTGACACGCCAGGCATGAGTCGATTGGATCAGCATGCTAAATACTATTTAGATTATTTCATCCTCTGATATGACGTTCCCTAGAAACACAACTTCCAAACAAAGACAACAAAAATGCTATTTCTAAGAATTAAAAGAAGACAATTGTAAGAAGCAGAGAGTGGTTTGCTTAAGAGCTTCCCGGCCTTGACGTGTCCAGTTGACTGGTACAAACACAGCTTTTTAGGCTGTTTGCATGGCTGCAAAGGCAAATACCGGTTTGAAACAGTCATTGATGTGGCCTCAGGTTCACAAGGCGTTAAGCAGCCGCGCAAAGGGAGATGAGGGAAGACGGGGGACCTGGGTATTAGAGCAACCTCTGGAGTAAACATGGAGCTGCTATATTGGCGATGTGATTATGTGCAAAAGTACCATTTCTACAAAATAAAAGTGCCTCTGCATAAGTCACCAGTTAAAGTAGTAAGGAAAGATGTAAGAAAAAATAAAACGGCTGTTTAACAGAGTCCTTCGCTGTTTAACAAAGTGCTAAAATGGAGTGTGAGTCAAAATGTCCAATTCACAGCACTGCGAGAGGTTTCACAGCTTCTGGAGCGGTCGCTTCACAGAGCCCAAGTGGACAGGAGACAGTAAATCCCCCCGTTTAACAGTCAGAGACTCTGTCGACGGGTTTTTAGCCTGTCTAAAGATCTCCTGCACTGATTATGAGAGCAGAAATTAAGTTCATTGTTAAGACAGAGAGCCCTGACAGTTTGATGGTGTAAAACCAGGTGTCAGAGGATAGAGCAAAGGGGGTGGAAGGCACCGGAAAACCACACAGCATTTGTTGTCTCCTTTAGCCTGTCTCTTGTGGGTAATATCGCAGGGTGACAAGTGCACTTTGTAATGACTTTCATGACTTTGGTGGCCTAGAATCGGATGGATGGGTAGAGAGGGTGTGCTTTATATTTTATTAGAAATGGATGATGCTTCGTAATGCGCATGAATAGTGAATAATGTCCCAGCTGTGCGCGCAGTAAATCTAGAAGGACTGAAGTGAACCTTGAAAGACCAGTTTCCTTGCTCTGTTTGAGAATCTAAAGACGCTATTCTGAGTTTGCACTGAAAGTTCTCACTTACTACCGAGTCTACCTGTTTGAGGTCGACCCCCCCGACCGCGAGCGGGTTGTAAAAAAATGCCTTTATTTGTCAGCGTGGCGAACCTCGACACTCATTAGCTCACATCCAGAGGAAAGGAGGAGGGCTGCTGCTTTTATTGGTCCGACTCTGAAATGACTGGTGTTCCATTCAGACTTTCTGCCAGCAGGAAAAGAGGGCTGGATGAAGGCCAAGAGAAAGTAAGGCATGCTGGGACAGGAGGATGAAAGTGGATCTAATTGAGCGTGTGCATGTGCTCTGACTCATACGCAAGTTCCAAGCCAATTCCCTCTGAGTTGAATTGATTGAAAATGCAAAGAGAACCAACAGTTAATCTGCCATTAAAGGCCATTTATAGCTGTTTTCCGGTTTTCGATGGGAAACGTCCTGTACTGATTGATTTTTCGCAGCTGAAACTTACTCTGGACTCTGCACCAATGCATGACGAATGCACTCCAACTTCTGTTGACATATGTCACATTTTACACCGGAGATCTGACTAAACAGCACTTTTCTGGTCACTCCTGAGTATTGTAAGTAGATACTGCTGACACTTAATCACAACAAATGTGTTTACCACATCTTTGCTCACAAATCAGGGAGACGGGAGAAGTCAAAGTGTTTCATCTTCCGACTCGATGGGAAATAACCATAAAGCGAAGGAGTGCATTAGCATCAGACAGTGTGGCAAGACTTACATCTCAATTACAGAGATGAGCACATAAATAAAACTGGAAGCCTCTAAGAAATTATGGGAAAATATAAGACTGGGAGAAAACACAATAACGAGCTTTCCACGCTCAAAGTGACTTCCAAAAAACAGTCAATCCCCACTATCAGCGGGGTGGCAGAGCCTTTAAAGCACCGTCCTTTCCTCCCCCTTCCTTCAGCAAAGTCCTCGATAAGTGGGATGCCTTGCTGGGTGCATTTGTGTGCGTTATTCCTAGCAATTTCTGTGCCACGATGCAAAAAAGGATATATATGAGTGAGCGAACGTGTGCATGTGTGGCCTATCCCCTTGAAGTAAACAGGCCGGGGGGCAATGGGTCCTCCCTGATGAGGGATTAGACTGGGCTTTTTAATTACAGCCTCCCAGTCCCTGGAGTCAGAGCTGCACACAGCACTCTCTGCTCCTCTGGAAGCTGACATTCACAGCTGAGCGTAACCACATTTACACCTGCATCCAAAAATGCTGGAACACAAAATGCTTTCGGGCTCTGCTGGTATCCATCGAATGGTGGAAGCGTTCTGACTTCATAGTGGCCAGAAGAAATGCAACACAGCTCCATGAGTGTCGAGCCATGTAAAAGGAGAATGTCTTCAGACTGACAGCACATGTCCACTCCCACAGGGTCACTTGGTCCCGTCTGGGTTTTGTGTGGACAGAAAAAGAGGTCAGCTAATAACCAAAATATGTTCAATGTTGAGAGTGAGCATGAGACATAATGTTCACAAATCAAGTGACTACCACAGATCCCAGATCTGGAGAAGGTTTTGTGGCCAAGCCATGTTTTCTTCTGTAAATCAAACATTTTGAATAAGGTTCTCATCACAGTCATCTTTATCAAACACAAAGAGGAAACCTTTAGCTTTCTAAACAGAATAAATTCTGATTCTAATGGAATATACTGACGGCATATGCTGACGGATTACTGACGGCACTTTGAAGTAGTTTTTTCTTTGTTCATAAACTAAATCAAGCTCTAATTCCCCTGCGTTGGTGTGCAAAGGTTTAACATCTTCTGCATCGTGGTTATCAGTTAGACATACTTTACATTTGGGTTTGATGTGAGTATCTACAGTTTGAATGATTTTATTAAGAGAGAGAGAAAAAAACATGCGAAAATAGGAGCTCTGGGTCAGCCTAGAGGGTGAAAGCAGCACGCAGTGATTTAAAGCGCAGCTTTGAGGTGTGGTAGCTCTACTTGTGATGATGCTAGTTGTGTTGTGCGCTGTGTTGTAGACTGCGCGCGCACACATCAAACTGTGACATGGTGGCAATAGGCATCATGGTGTAAAAGCATACTCACCTTCACATTAGTTGACATATCCTTCCAAAAAAAAACAAAAAAAAACAGAACACATTAGAGGGCAAATCAACAAAGGAGCTCTTAAGAAGCCCAAAAGTGAGTGAACACCAAGGGAGCCGGGTAATAATGAAAAGATTCACACAAACAAAGCTATGGGAGGGAAATAAAACCACTTTGGGCTGCAGGATTATGAGATTTGGAGTTCTTAAGAATGGAAATCTGGGAGAGGAAGTGCAGTTCGCTTTGTGGTAAGCAGTAATCCATGCCCATAATTTGAAGTGATATTGAAATAGATCAAAGAGACTTTGTGGGGTTTTTGTCGCTGCGATTTCACTGGGAATCCATGTGGCACGACAACAATGCCGCCGCTCTGAGGTGTTACGGAGTTGAGCGGCAGTTTCATACAATGTGACCGTCAGCGTCTTCGTTTTGAACAACTAAGCTCTGAGCAGTTTGTTACGCGTTCACATCCGGCCTACGTCACCGGATCCCTGGAGGCCTGCCCTCACCTTGGTTTCTGTGCGCCGCGTGGTTCCGTCGTCAGACGTGACCACCGACACGTGGGAGGTGGGGGTGCCGGGGTCCTCCTCTATGGTGACCGTCTCCTCCACCACCTCCTGGGGCTCCTGCATCATGGCGAGGGACGTGGCGTTACTCGGGCTCTGCTCCTGCGCGGGGGGGGAGAGCAGAGGAGAACCGGGTTTGCACGAATCGGGGATAAGCACACTCATTTTCATAATCGTCATCAGGCAGGAGGAGAAGAACAACATCCGTGTAATCTTCTGTGAGACATGGCACGAGATAAAGCTTTAATTGCTATGGCGACAATGAATTACATTAGAATATATTTGACAGAAGAGGATTAATAAATAAGATGCCAGCCGCAATTTGCAATGCAGTGTTTAAACAAGAAGGTGGAAAGTGTGAAACGCACGGCGTGAATAAACTCCTGACAGGAGCAACAGCATTAAATCACACCGAGGCGGAGAAATCCCAAAACGAGTCTTCATGATATGAACGCTGTGATGGGCAGAGGGGAAAACGGCCTCCTTAAGAAGACCGGGTCTCAAACAGTACTACGAACTTTATTGTATTGAATCCAGCTATAACACAAATCACCTCGATAACAATGGGGAAGAAGATGCAACGCGATTAAATATTAATGTTTGGTCTTCATTTAATAAACTGCGGGCTGCAAAAGAAAAACGAAGGAAATGTTTAGCGTTGCCAATGCAAACACTGCTCTGCACCGCTCACACCTCCTTACCCACTGATACCTAAAACTCTCTGAGAGCTCATTTCAAGGCAGGCAAAGGCTTGAAAGACTATTTTTGATTCATATTTCATCGGGAGGCTATGGACTTGGGGGTGGGGGTGGGGGGGTGTCTCTATGGGCAGTGGATGAAAGCTAGTATTGCTTTCCCCACCTGACCCCACGAGAAAGCACGAGGAAAATGTGCCTCCTGCCGCATTCCCCCCGCTGATGAAAAACAATATGAAGGCAGTCATCGGAGGTGCAACGCCCTGGCACGGACCCACTGGGGCGAGAGAGTGGGGCAAAATTACAGCTTTCATGATTGAGAGGGAGAGGAAAGCAGTTGAGGTAATGACTGATAAGTAGAACAGCATGGGGCCCAGAGAGGGAGAGGAAATCAGAGGCACTGGGGAGGGCAGGGAGCCCGAGACCAAAAGAAGGAAGCAGTTGAAGAAATTTGAGTTTTTTCTAATGAGAGGATAAGAGAGCAGCTTTATTGGTCCATAAAGCCGCCACTGATCTTTTTCAGGATGTCTCGCGAGCAGTTTTTAATGTATGCCGTCTCCATTCTTTTCATCATGAAAGAAAGTAAAAAGTTAAAAGAAAGTGTTACAAAATGCCAGCAAATTGAATTTTTCAACCCCGGCTGACGAAGAATAACTCCGCACCTGTGTCTTCCTCATTATCGTGGACTCCCCCCCCCCCCAACAGCCACCCCCCACCCCCTGCCTCCGTCTCCGTGAGCGATGAAAAAAAAGAAGAAAAAAAATAAACTAAACAAGATGGACTCTTCTGTGGCAAGGCAGAAGGGGAGAAGAAAAAGTTTTACAGGTGGCCATTTTTGGGGAGACTCCTCCTCTTCCTCTAGTCTTTGTGGACTCTTATGAGTGAACATCTCTCCATTGATTGGCCAACTTCTCTCGGGCATCAAAGCCCACGCAGTCCCATTGATCTCCAGTGGTTTTTGCTGAGCAGCCAAAAGTTTGAGGATCATTTCTCCTAATCCTGCAGCCCCCCCCACTCGCCTCTGCTTGGGAAACAAACCTGAGCCCGGGTTTTAGATGCATTCATCCCCTCTTTCAGACACATCAAAAGCTCATTGGATCCTGTTGGTACCAGTCAATCACCGAGTTGGGTCTTTATACTAGGAAGAAGAAAAAAAGCTTGCATTGCCCTGTTATTGCATCCAAAGACAGGAAAGGTTATCTAGTGCATCCAAACACACCCGTTTGTTTACACACAATTGTTGGTGGGCTGAGGAAAATACATTTTTCACAACTGACCTCTGGCTGAGCAGCGCGTCTCTGATGGGAGGAAGCTTTTAATGGCGTTCAGAAAGAGAAAATGTCAGACCTGATTATTTGCTTCCTCTCAACATGTTTGCTCAATTCAATTAGAAACGTGAAATACCCTCCTGACTTCGATCCCACTGCTGACGACAACAATGGATTAAAGTTTATCTGAGGATTCTCTGTATACGCAATGTATAACAGCTAAGGACTTTTTTTAAAAAGGCAAAGAAATGCATCCTTTACCCAAAGCTCTGGTCCAATATGCATGTATTCTTGGCATCTGTTTTTACTTGTTGGCCTTGGGTTGAAGCTATCTATCCTTGATGTTCTATGACCGCATAAAAAATCGGTCTATAAATCAAATGGCGGTGCTTCAGTGGAAACCACTGGACGGGCGATCAGCGTGGACCTGGACATGTGCAAATTCAGATTTTACCTCCAATCCCCTGTTAACTCAGGACACAGGTGATTGCAAAAGCAGCCCAGTCTCCCATTTATTTAAAACTCATCGCATTGCTTGGGAAAAAAATAAACACAGGAGAAAAAGAGGGGCTATCCTTTGAGGCTTAGCAACAAACCGGCTTTTTTATTTTATTTATATCCTTCTGTGGCGTTTCCCCGTTCACCTCTCTGTCTCTATCTCCTCTTTCACTGCGTGTGAAGCGAGAGACAGGAGTTGAATACGACATCATATCCCCTAAATAAATGATTAAAAGCCGTCTGGCCGCGGGCTCTGGTGGTCACAGGGGAGAGAGAAGCTCAGACTGAGTCGACGAGGCTCAGGAACGCAGTCAAGGGCAAAAGAGGTGGAGGGCTGGCCGCGTTGATGGCATATAGAGCAAACAGGAGAAAGCCATAAGTTAGGGGGGGTCTAATCAAGTGGAAAGCGTCTGTACGAGGCAGCAGAGCTTACAAACAGCATGTACAAAAACATCCACTGGTCTCATGAGAGGAGCATCTGAACAGATCTGTTCCCCTACAAATCCCACGAAAGCACAGGGAGTCAACATTAGCTGAGCGGCTCCGAAATATAAAGAAAAGAATGACTAAGTGAACGGTCCGGGAACAAGACTGTTTGTGCCCTCGTCTTGCCTGAAGCTGGACCCCAACTTTTGATGAGGAGAAAGGAGCGTGCAAGAGGTTTTGGCAGTTAAACCACTTATGTTCAGTCAGCGGTAACAGAGAGGCCGAAGCCCTCGGAGAGACGGGGATTTTACTCCGAAAAAAGGCCAAAGGATTTGCACAACCGCTCTTCACACAATCCAAAGAAGCCACGTGTGACTAGAAGGAGGAAGGTTGAGTTGGTGGATAATGAAATCCCGTCTTACTGAGCCACAAAGACTCTTACATGGGGTGACTTCTGCACAGACACAGCTAGCACCCAGAGGGAACTTTTAATCTAAAAATGAATTCTTTGCAATAAAGTGTTGCATTTAGTTGGACTAAATTCCTTGAAGCGCTTGAGCTACTCCATAGGTCAACATCGGCCGAAACAATCATTGCCTCCCAAAAAACTATACCCTTGACGAGAGCCTTTCAGCAGCCGGTGGAGAATATTTCATTACAATAGATCGCACGGAGAAATACGCCCCCTTAAAAGCAGCCAATCTCTTTCCTAATGGATTGCTATCCAGCAAAAAAAAAAAAAGAGACAGAGAGAGAGAATCAGGACGTCTTGGAACACAAAGGCAGCAGATTAAGAGATACTGTGGTGTCAATTAGCAGCAGCCTGCTATCTGCCATCAATCCCAACCCATTCATCATCTGTGTTCAATAAGCCGCCTCTGTGATGTGGAAGAATGAGAAGATAGAGCAAAATGGGAAAGAGTGGGCAGATAAAGGCTTTCCTTCCCAGAGGACGAACAACAAGCAAACTTCTGTTGTAGTTAAGGCGAGGATGAGAGTGGATCACATGCCGTGTCCTCCACACACAAGTTCTAAACTTTTTCTTTTTAGAAACATTTTCCTCATCAGACTATCAATAGGTGAAAAAACAGGTTTGAAACTTAATGAGCTATTATCTGGTAAAGGACTGGGCTTCTTGCAATAAGAAGACTGATTTCTGTCGTATAATCTTCATCCCCGTTCACAGCTCTGCAGGTCGGTCAGCAGCTCGGTCAGCAGACCGGTCAGCAGCTCCATCGCCTCAGCCCTCACATCAGCGTAACCACAGCTGGAATGAGCTTACTGTTTCCTTCAGTAGGGTAGTGACGTTTAAGTGCATAAATAAAGAAATAAACAGCCTGAAAGCAGTCAAATAGTCATTTAACTCAGAGAGACTGATGAGAGAAGCCTAACTTTTGAGATAAGGCTTGAAAATTCAAAATCCGACGAGAGTCAATCATCGACAATAAATGGTAACCATAAACAGGCCCACCTGTTTCCATTTGCAAATCACTTCAGATACACATGAGGGACACGTTTCCCACTCACTCCCACATGAGAGCGAGAATGAGATCTGTGTGTTTGGGTCTGATGGCGGTGGGAGGGAGGCTCTGCTTCTCTGGCCGGGAGGCGGCGCGCGCTGTGGGATCACCACCTGGTCACGCATACTGGTGTGATCAGAGTCACCTCTCCTTCCAAATTCACTCGCGTGCGCGGATACACAACACACACTGGGTCTTAGCCGCGGCCCCTGCACAGCAACTAACAGGATTTCGCTCCGGAGCCATGCCAGCAATCATTACATGGCTCTTACACAATTAATCCTCCAGCAAAGATCGCCCGGCCAACCTTGAGTCGTCCAATTTTTCTATCGGCCCCTTCTGTTTCTGCCACCTGCCCTCCCAGCAGCAAGAGAGTCACATGGTGAAGTTCAAAAGGAGGAGGGGAGGGGGGTGAGCTGTGGCAGTGGGATCCAAGCCTCCACAACAAGGCCTGTTTGTGGGATGGAGCAGGGGAAGAAGGGATGTCAAGTAGAGGAAAGGGAAAGCTAGAAAAGGCTGACAATGTGTGGCAAACGCCCGAATCAGCACGCTCTCCCAGGGTGAAAGAGAAAGAAGGGGTTACTCGGCCATGTCCACCACCAGCTCCAGCCGGGTGGAGCACCCCCATTCCCGGAAATAATCCAAAATTCAACGGACTGGTCAGAAGGCTAACGGACGCAAAACAACCAATAGGAGAGGGCGAAGCCCCGATGACGCAGACGGGACTGACCGGACCCTAATGTCTCCCCTGGTGACCG